AATAATAGTGATTCTTCCCACACTTTTCCTGAAAATCAGATAGTTACAACTACTTTCTGATTCATTCTGAGGCCAGCAGTCCCCTAATAGCAAAACTAGACAAAAATTCTTGCAAGAAAAAAGTACCAATATCCCTCATGACATAGACACAAGGCAAACTCTGAGCACATTCAACCCAGCCTCATATTAACAGAGTATGTCATGAGCCAGGAGGTTTAGCCAGATGGGGGGTTTGTTTACCCTTTGAAAATCAATGTCATTTTTCTTCTTAGGAAACTAAAAAAAAGAAAGACCACAACCATCTCAAAGAAAGAAAAGAAAAACCCAGAAGCGTATTTGATACTCTCTGTCCATTCTGGGTTTTAAAAAAGGCTCTCGGCAAGTGATAGTTTAGCATTGCTGTGCAATAAACTACTGCATCCTATCATCTGCGTTATCACTTTCATCACCTTGCAGCTTCTGTGAGTCAGGAGTTCACACAGTTTCATTGAGTCCTTGGCTGTGGGTCTCACTGGGGTTCAATTGGTGAGCAATCCATTTTTAAGCTCATCAATTTTATTAGCAGAATCCAGTCCCCCTGGTTGCAGGAGTGAGGAACACATTTTCTTGGTGGTTGTTGGCTAGAAGATGCCCTTAGTTCATAAAGGGTACTGCAGACGCAGATGCTGTCCCCTGGGGCTCCCCAATATGGCTCCCTCCATCTCCAAAGCCAACAAGGCAGTGAGAGACTCCAGCAAGACCAAAAAGAGAAGGACTCCGCCTTACAGTAAAGTAACCACGTGCACACAGTTGCACACGGTGGTCGCACCCCCCATCCTATTCTTCATATTCTATTGGTTAGAAAGTAACCACACGTTGGCTCAGCGCCTATAGCTCAGTGACTAGGGCGCCAGCCACATACACCGGAGCTGGAAGGTCCAAACCCAGCCCGGGCCTGCCAGACAGCAATGACAACTACTACCAAAACATAGCCAGGCATGGCAGGTGCCTGTAGTTCCAGTTATTTGGGAGGCTGAGGTAAGAGAATTGCTTAAGCCCAAGAGTTTGAAGTTCCTGTGAGCTTTGACACCAGGGCACTCTACCAGGGTGACATAATGAGACTCTCTCTCAAAAAAAGAAAAAAGTAACCACATGCACACATGGTCCCACCCCCCCATCCTTTTCTCCATAGTCTATTGGTTAGAAAGGAACCACATGCACACACGGTCCCACCACCCCATCCTTTTCTCCATATTCTATTGGTTA